TTGTCGGTGCAGGAAATGAGGTGACCCATTGCCCTTTATTAACGTGCAGTAAAAACCGAAGCAACAACGCCAGGAGGAGGAGGGAAGTTCCCCGTGCGGCCCCTTGCCTGGACGGTGCTGGCTATAATAGACTGTTAGGGCTGCACAGGAGCAATGTCCCAGAAAATGGAAAAAGCTCATCGTGGTGGCAAGGGCCAGGGGAAAGTTTTTTTGTGTGTGTGAGCACTTCCCTCTTCCGTTTCATATAGCATTTCACCTCCACGTTCCCTGCAATTTTATTTTCATCTCAAGTTTGAAACATTGGCATTCGTTCTGGAGGAAAAAAAGGAAACACGGGTTTCATTTCAGATCCTGTAAAGTGGACAGGATTTTCTTTATGGGATTAATTGTTTAGGTCCCCTTCCCCCCAACTCACCTGGGCAATATAACTCTTGTATTTAGTATTCAAGGGAAAGAAGAGACGTTTCATAGTTTGGGACAGCTTTGGATTCATCGCCTGTCCTACAGCCACCAGTTCGGGGCCGGAGTAGTTTGAGCATGATTGCTACTAGCAGAGTTTGCAACGCCATCCCTCGTTAGGTGGCCAGAATTTAATTTCCTGCTGAGAACGGTGCTGGTTGCGCTGGTCCCTAGATAAACCCCTCCTCCTCGATCCCCTGGCTGGGATTTTCAAAGTAGCTTAAGGGAGTTTAACTGCCCAACTCCCAGTGCAATGGGAGTCAATGGGAGTAAAATAGCCAAAAGCACCTTAGTGGCTTAGCCTAAGTCCCTTTGATTCTCATTGGGACTTAAGTGATTAAGTCAGTCTAGGTGCTTTGGAGAATTTTACCCTTACAGCCGGCTTCCCTGAGGTCTCTGCAAATCCCAGCCTCCCTTGTCCGGGCCAGTTGTTTGGGGCCGCTCTGTCAGGCTATTTGCAGCAAACCAGGCTAAATGTAGTAAGTCTGGCCATGTGCACAGTGCTGTACAAGGCATGCAAAAATAGCTTGCACTCTGCAAACCACAAAAGGTCAGAGGCACTGGGGAAGGCCAAGAAAAGAACAAGTTTAAAGGGGGTTTTTAACTGTAATCGGTCTCTTTTCTTGTACGCATAGTAGAGCTCGGACCGGGCTTTGGGCCTGAGCTTCACCCAACAGCATTGTCTAATCAAGCTTGACGAACGTCGGCCCTGCCTGAGCCGTAGAAGGTCATAGGCACTTGTTAGACTTTCCAGGGCAGAAGAACTGTACGAGACCTGCTGTTGCACCTATTTTCTGCAGTGCCGATAGGTTGGCTGGGTGCTTTCCAGGCTGGCAGGATAACCAGACGCCTGTCCAAAGCACTTCGAGAAGGCAGACCGTGTACAGACACAGGGCGGGAGACGGGATGTGATGAAATCAGTATGATGTGAGCATTACTCACGGCAGCTCCCAACTGCCCGTACCCATGTCGGGGGTGAGAGAGGCCTGCCAGCTGAACCCAAATAGTGTGCATGTATATGGGAAAGCTGCCGGGAATACAAATAACAAGGATCTTTATTATTAGGGTCAGCAGCTTTCATTCTTCAGGGCGTCATCTTCCACCTGCTTGAGGGCAGGAAGAAATGTCCGTGCCTGAAACGACGTGGGTTTGGGTGCAGCGTGAGGGCGTACGCCTTTTCCCACGGGTCCGGCAAGCAGCCCAGATGTACCGTTGGCATGTGCTGGTGTGACAGTCCAGGAGCCTGTGAAAGAAAGACCTGGGGGCTCGGGAGTGGAGACTCTGGCACCCGGATTCGTGAGCCCACCCCGTTCCAGGGCTGCCACTGCCAGGAGCCATTGTGCAAAGGATAGCAAGAAAACAGAGCAGCTTTGGCTGCCTTCGCCTCCTCCTGAGCCTCCCCTTTGTTTGCCCAGGGATCCGGATGGGTGCACATCTCGCCATCCTGATTATCCTGCGTCCAGGGGGAGACAAGCCCGGTGACGTACCTGCTCTGAAGGATGAGTTGCTGGATTGAGGTTGACGTGTCCTAATATCTCTGCCAGCACTTTCCATCTCCGTCAAGGGCTTCGGGAAGCACATTAGCACCAGAGCGGAAGTGTCACCCTCTGGCATCTCATTCTCTAATCCCGGCGCTGTTGCAGCATCCCCATCACCAGCCCATTATGCGGCATGAAACGCATCCCAAGGCCTGGAAGCGCAGGGCTGCTGGGCATCCCTCCCACCCCCGCAGTTCAGGTCCGGCAGACCATGCCAGATGACTTGTCTGAGCTAATTGCCGTTTCTCGGGGAAGGGTTGGGGGCAAGAGGGGAGCATTTTTGTGGGGGGCGGTGTTGCTTCTCGGCTCTGGGCTGAAGGAGGCGCCTGGCTCTGCGTTCAGAGTCGCACGGAGACCGCTAACAGCGCTTCTTCGGACCGCAGGGGGATTGCACTTAGATAAATACAAGCTGAACTTCTCAGTGGCAGGATGAGCAAGCCCAGGATTGAAATGTTAAGCGCCGAAAAGCGTCGAGTTGGGAGAAATCCCTCCCAGCTGCCGGGGCGCAGAAGCTACTCGATCACGGTTAGCAAGGGAGCGAGAAAAGGAACCCGGCTGAAAGCAACTTGATTCGATTGACGTCGTGCGGCATTTACAGCGCAGCCCGCCCGTAATGAACAGTTGCCATCACAACTATTCATAATGGCCGCGAACTCTGCCTGCCTCTATTTAAAAAAATAAATAAATAAATAAACCAACCCAGAAACAAAACCACAAAACACACACGCTCCCCCATTGTTCCTAGCCCAAGGGCCCTATGAAACCTGCCTGTTAAGTTTGCCTCTCGCCTTGCTGTGCTTTTCTCGCAGAACAAACATTTCAGAATAACCCCCACGGCCAAGCCATCCTTTCCCGTGTCTCGCAGACGTACATACCCACGCACTCCTTCCAGCCTCCTCCCCACCCAACGTTGGCTTAAAAAGCCATCAAAGAGAGAGACTGACAGCCAGGAGTCCTGGTTTTCTCTGATTAAAAAAAAAAAAATACAACCCAATTCTCGGTTTAAACAAAAGTAACCCCAAATCCACATTTTTCCACGATCAGAATGAAACACCGTTATATATGTATCTATCTACTAGTGGCGTTTCATTTTAACCTTGGAAACGTGGCTTTCGGGTTACTTTTTTTTTTTTCCATCCGAAAATTGGGGATTTTTTTAAATCGGAGGAAACCAGGAGCCCTGCTGACAACGCGCATGGAGCGTGCTCTGATCTAAGAAGGACGAGCCCAGCATTGCCTGTTGGGCGGATGCTGCTCTGGGGGGTTGAACTTCCCAGGCTGTAATATTTATGATCCTTCATATTTTCCTTCTTAATTCTCTAAAAACACCGCCTTGATGTTTTACTAGCACAGCCGGATTAAAACGCCCGTTTCGACGGCGTCTCCTGCTGATTTGGGACTGTGATAGCTTTCGGAGGGGCTAGGTTCCAGCATATCCCTTTTAAAGCCTTTAGTCGCTGCAAAATCTCTATCTCCCTCTGCTTTTCCAAAGGGCAGTAAACCCTGTTGTGTGTTTGTTCTTAAAGGAGGGAACTTCCAGCAGGAAAGAGCCTTCCCCAGATCTAAGGGGATCCTTTGTTAAAAGCAAATCCTTCCCCTTTGTCCTAGCATCTCGGGCCTGTTTGTAGTCAAACAGCTGGCACGTCCGCTGACGGCTCTGCTCGGAGACGGCTGCTGTCTTTCTCTTTCTGTGTTTTCAGAGGCAAAGCCTGACTTTCAAGCTAGAGAAAGTGTTCGAGCTATTGATAGCTCTGCTGCTGCGAGTATGGCCCCTGCCTGCCACTTCCATGGTGCAAAGGGAAAAGCGTCTGGCCATAAGTAGCCAGTTTGCACATCCCGCTGTCCCTGAACCACTGGCTGTCCGGGGCTTGGAGGAGGCAGCTCTTGTGCCAGCAACCTCCTCCCATGGTGCAGCTCCAGGGGAGGGGGCAGAATGGGCACGGTGGAGCAGACGTGCCCCACGTCATCCTCCGGTGGCTGTGCACCTGTAAGTCTTGCCTGGGCACTTAAGGTCTCACAGCCAGGACCAGACCCCAACACCCGCTTCTGTACTGTAATAAGCATCTGGAGAGGAGAACGTTGCCCCAAATGTTTCTAATGTGCTTTTGCGATCGTGGTTGCTGAATAACTGATTGAGCAAGGATTTGCTCCCGCCTCTCCTGCACCATCCTTTGTCGACACCGGGGTTAGATGCTTATGTTACGGTCTGGCTCAGATCGACCAACTTGACTCCTGAGCCCTGTGAGGTGAGGATGGATCATGAACCCCATTTACAGACGGAGAAACTGAGGCAGAGAGGCACAGCTGTCAGGGAGGAGGCAGTCAGACCTGGAGGCCTCTCCCCTCCCTGCATTTATAGTCTAGGGACAATTTTTGCGGATGCCCCAGGTGCTTGCACAGCAGTGGGATTGGTACTTACTTGCCCGCAGGTGATGGCTGTGCTGCTCAGAGGGCCTGGCTGAGAGGGGAGAAGATCTCTCCCCAGGCGCACACAGCTTCAGCAGCAGCTGTCAAAGATGGGCATGGTGGGGAAAACCATCCCAGTCCCCCGCTTCCTTGCTCCCCTCCTCCTGGGTTTTTTCTTTCTCACATTTTTTTTGCATTTGCAAGTGTGGAAAATCCCCCTGGCAGAGGGTCTCGGGGCCCATTGGGTCGGATCATTGCACACCCCGTTGCCTGGTGCGCTGGTTGCTCGATGCTGCCTTTCTGTGGGGTCTGGGGAGGGAGGGTGGGTGGATTCGACTTTACACCCTGGCTCTGCAGGGGCCTTTGCCTCCTGCCTGCTCTCTCCTCTCATCTCCTGCCCTTGGCCCTTCCCTTGAGTGCGTGCCTGTGAGCGGCTTGCTATTTATCTACCGAAGCCACGAGCCCGGATGCATCAAGCTAATCCATCAGCTATTCCACGCGGCTCCTGAGGAGGGGCCGTGCCCAGGTCTCTCCTTCCCACAGAGGCTCACGTTTGCTCCCAGCCCTTCTAACCGCCCGCTCCTCTTGTGTCCACAGGTGCTGACGTCGCTTCGGAGACGCCACGAGCTTTGCTGACCTGGAGCCTTCCCGGCGGGGGCCAGAGGTCGTTGCCAAGAATGAGCATCCTTCCCGGCCCTGGAATGTCTTCGTTCATCCCTCTCGTGACCCTCCTGTCCTTGCTCCTGATTGCTTGCGTGGCTGAAAGTAAGTGACCCCTCCTGCCCCTTTGCTCCGGCCTCCCTCGTGCCACCTTGCTTCCCCGTGCAATGGGGGGACGCAGCTCACTCAGGGATGGAGAAGGCCTGGTGACCAGCAGCATTGTCTTTTTTTTAAATGGCTGGTTCCTACATCCCCCCCCCCCCACCCCGCTCCCCAGAGCTTTTGCTTATCCCTAGTTCACGAGTCTGCAGCCCTCCAACTGTTGCCCTACCCATGAGATCATCATTGCTGCCCTGCAAGTCACTTTGGCGAGTCTCCATAGCCCGTTTAATCCATGCAATCTCCCCTGAGACTCCCAAATTGGGAGGGGGGCAAGTAGTGTGCTGATACCTATTGAGATTGATCCTGTTGTCTGTCCATACCCGTTCTAGCTTGGGTACTGATACGTGGAGCATGCAGAGACCCAGCAAACTCCTTTCATGTAGTCCTGTCCCTTTCTGCCCCCCAGCATCTGTCAGGCACTAACAGCCTGTGGTCCAGAGCTGACAATGGTGGGACTGAAACCAGCATCCGAAGCAAAGGTTTTGTTGCACCACCCCCCGACTCAGCCGGAGCCAGAGTAATGCCGTTTTGTATCTTCTCTGCCTTTCAAATACGTCTCTGCCAAACAGCAGCACCTTGCCTGTAAGGCTCCTTAGCGTGAAAGCCAGTCGCGGGGTGGGGGGCAGCAGGAATATACATCTCCAGGCTGATCGAATTATAACTTTTCTTCTCCCCTAGCAAAGCTGCTCGAAGCTGGTGAGGGGACTGCTCTGGTCAGCACAGTCCGGGGCAGCTTTTAACACAATTGCTTCATTATTGGGGTTTATTAAGAGGATGCGTTCTCAGGGGATCGCAGGGATAGCAGGACCTTTGGCTGTCGTGTGCCCTGTCTTCTCAGGTGTGGATGTGGCCAGGGCTTTGCCATCCTGTAGCACTACGCTCATCTCTCTGCTATTTACCCGACAGCCCATCCATGCAGGGAGGCTTGTGCCTATATGGAAGGACAATAAGGCCTTTCATTTTACTATCCTCAAGTCATAAGGGGTGAGAGGTGAGCTGGCCCTCCAGGAGGTTCAGAATTGGGCCACCACCTGGTACATCACCCTGAGTATGTCTGCTGCAATTCAACGGTGCAGTTGTAGCTCCCATAGACTGACTGTAGCCAGCTTGGGTACTGATGAGCGGAAGTTGCAGCAGCCTGGAGATCAGGGCGATGATCTTCCTGAGCATTGACTCAGCTGACATTGAACCTTGGGTAGCTGCGGGCTGCACTCATTGTCGGTACCTGACACGACTACATTAACACCGTGCGGGGATGCCCACACAAACTGCGTCTCTACTCTTTGCAATGTAGACGTACTGTTCGTGGGCCAGCCACATTGCTGGGCAGTCTGTGTGTCCATGCTAAGGGCAAGTAGGGTCCAGTGGTTAAAGCAGGAGACTAAGAATAGAATCGGGAGTCCTAGGTTGAGTCGTGTGTGTGTATATGTGCATGTACTCACGATTTGCTACTTAAAATAGCCCGGCTGTCAGGACCCCTGAGCTCTGTACCTGCTGCTGACGTGCTGTGACCCGGAGCAAGTTCCCTAAGCCCGTGTTTTTAAGCCTGCAGGCAGTTTTGCACGCGCAAACACTCAGTATATGTGTATGCACAAATCCAAGGGCTGTGTGTGTGTGTGTGTGTGGCGTGTACGCACATGCATGGATTTGTGTAACGTGGGTGCTGAGCACCTGTGAAAGTCACACGGTTGTTTAAATGTGTATAGGAGTTGAGCCCCGCACAACCCCACTGACGCCAGCTGCTCCACTTGACTGATGGGTCCCTGCCCCTTAACCTCCCCGCAGCCTTGGTTTTCCCATCTGCCCACTGCAGGGGATCTGTGGGGCGAGGCTCAGTCGCGGGGTATTTTTGAAGAGCTTTGAGATCCCGTAAGCTGCCGTACAACTGCAGAGCACTGCTGCAGGGCTGGATGGAAATTGGGGCTTGCTCTCAGAGGTGTGTTAGGTATTCAGGAGTGACTGCGGCTGGCTAGGTGGCAGGAGGGACCTGTTGAGTGGACCGAGTCAGGCTGGTGACTGTCATCACCAAACAGACACCTTTGCTGCTGCTTGCCAAGAAGCTGCCTGGTTTCCCTTCCCTGTAACTCTGCAGTGTCCTTGGGTCCCAGGCGGTGAGGCTTTGTGTGGGTGTGTGCTATATTTTGCTTTCCCTGGGTGTATTCTCCGGGTACCAATTTATATGCAAGACGGCTCCCCGGGAACGACGCAGGCCACTTCACCCTGACCTTCAGGCTGCGTGTCTGGCGTGGGCCGCTCTGCGGGTGGGGGGTGTTTTGACGTCTCTCTGCCTAGGCTCCTAGGAGAGGGGGTAGGGGAGCAGGGCTTCCCCTCCATCCTGCAGGCTGCTGCTAGAGAGAAGGCAGGGCAGGATATTTTCCTCCTCCTCCCCCAACTGCAGGGGAAGAAGTCACAGTTTCTGCCTGTGCGGGACCCCAGGTAGGTTGTGACCTGTGTATTCCCAAGAATTTGATACTGGTGACTCGATGCTGGATGGGATGCACTGTAGACTGCAGCGAATGCTAAACCAAAGGTGATGAGTTGTTGCCTCCCGAATTTGGAGCATCAACCAAGTGTCACTTGCAGTGCCCCAGCCCACACCCGCCTGGGCCCGTAGCTTTGCCTAGCATGGGATATATGCAGCAAACAGCTTTGTCTGTCACAACTGTTGAGGCCGTGAGAAGCCATCACTCTGCTCTGACAATGTCATCTCCTGTTGTATGGCCTTGGGCTCTGTCGCGCTGCCTCTCATGTAATCCCTTGGCTGGCTTCCACTTGGCTGGTGCTTGCCCGCAACAGCGACCTGCTTTTTCCTCTCCCAGTTCCCTGTGCAGGGGTACGGGGTTCCCTGATTTTATAGCCATCAGAGTGACAGGCCCCCAACTCTGGCATGGCAGCATCTTCCTGTGCATAAGAGGAAAGGGTAAGCTAGTAGCAAAGAGCTGGGATCTCTGCCTACTATTCTTGCTTTCTTCCCCTGTGACGTGGATGCCTCTTCCTCTGCTGTGCCTGAATTCCTGGGCATTTGTGCCCAGAAGCTTGCAATTAAAGAATCTTTTTTTGCAAAAATCTTGTTGGTCTAATAAAAGATATCATCTCTGCTACGAGTCCCGATTGCTCTCAAAGAGGGAAGATTTGGGGATTTGTGAGTGACTTGGTCAGGTTTGTGGTAGAACTGGGGAGAGAACCCAGATTTCCTGATTCCCACTTGGGCCTTGTTGCCTTCACAGCTAAAATGTTGGGGCCTCTTACTGCATGCATGGACATGCAAAATACGATTTGTCTTACTGGATACAATTCCCAGGAGATTACAGAGTCTCTCCACAGCCCCCTTGCTGAGTAGTGCAAACACATTTTTGCCAGTGTAGTGCGAGGGGTCACGCAAGACCTGGTGTCGATATGCATCTCCTACCTGAAGGAACAACGCGCTTGTTTTAAGTGCTCAGCTGCAGATAAAAAGCCACTTACCCTGGAAAAATTGTGTAAGCTTTATAACCAAAATCAGTGCGTTTACGGTTAAAGTGGATTTCTCTCATTGATTAAACCTTTACATTTTACAGTAGAGACCTGTTAATTGGTGCATCTTGCAAACAGAGCTGGAGTTCTCCCCAGCAGAGATTTACTAGCAGATGCAGTAGTGAGCATTACTTATGACTAAGGTTTCCTCCTTTAGATAAATCACATTGTAGAATGCTTGCTAGCATGCTCCTCGGTATTACCATAAATAATTAAAACTAAATTGCGATTGACAAAATAAAAGAAAAAGGGTCCGTTTTATGATGCATTACTCGGGCTCCCTTTCCCTTGTTAATTGTGCTTAATCCATTGGTCGTTTGCAGGATGCGGTAATTCACAGCGGGTGCAAATCAGCAAGGCTCTGGTGTGCTTTTAAACCCAGCTCCTGCCTTGCTACCATGCAGGGGTGGAGGCTGGTGGTAGATGGCAGTGCGACCTGCCTGTTCTTGGCGGAGGAGGCATCCGAAGAAATGACTGTTGATGACGGGTGGAGGGAAACAAGCCTGTAAAGATCAGTGTTAAGGCTGGTCTTTGGAAACGGTATGAAGACGTAGCCCCTTGACTACATGCTCCCTTCCTCGCCTAATCCACTGTGGCAGTGAGTCTAGTACAGCCGAAGACCCCAGCTCTTTAGCTCAGCCTGTGGCTATGCATGCTTTTATCCTGAAACATCCCCGATTCAGTCCTTGGGATTGTCCAAGAGGGCCACAATGACAAAAGCTTCCTGGTAAAACCAAGCTTCATTGCTTTCCATCTGTTGAGTGTATTAAGATAGCCCTGGCTATAAGGAGATGTTTCTCAAGGAGCAGCAAGGTGTTGGTGGAAGGCAGCTCTCTCCTTAAAACTGTGTGTACTGGGACCAGTTTGCACCGATGCACTGGCACTACCAGTCAGTATTTACATCAGTCATTTTTGTAGCATGTTCGCTGCCTACAAGCTTAGTTTGCCCTGCACGGGCTCCTCCTTCCAAACTTGGGGTGCAGAGCTGTTGAGCAACTGCCTGCATTGGTCTCTGGGTGGAGAGAAGTGGGGGGGGTTGGAAGGGGAGGCAGGTATTAAGAAGGAGACACCTAACAGCAGTTTGCTGGGAGAAAGAGTGGTGGCACTTAACTGGCAGAGCACAGACTCCCTCTGCCCGCAGGGGCTGAAGTGCAGTGAAAGAGGATGAAGAGCCTCAGTGGCACTGGCTCAGAAGGGAAGCCGGGTGGAGCACTGTTACCCAAGTCACCGAGCACTTATAGCAGAGCAACTGGAGCTGTGCCCCTTCCTCACCCCGCTCCTTCGCCTCTCCGCTGTTGCATCCCTATGACATTATAATGGGTCTTATAATAAGTGGGCAGCAAAGTCTCTTCCCAGGTGCCGGTACTATTGAGCTGGGCCCAGAAGCCTCTGGGTCCCAACACTGCCTTGCACCAGTTTGGTTTTCTAGG